TACATAAAGTAATATGTTAGACCATACCAAACAAGATAATTACTGTGGCAGGAAATAAAAATCAGATTAAGTGGGATTTTGTGGCACAGAAGACCCCTTCAAGCATTCGTCTGGCAGGGGGACCAGGGTGGATGAAGCGAGAAGGGAGCCCTGCTGCTGAATTTCTCTTCGGAATTTTAACTCCACTATCTCAAGCTTCTTCCATGCTTGCTTTCCATGTTTAGTTCAGTCCATTTCAATTCTACCCCTTGATTAGACCCTTATTCCCACCTTTTCTGGATTCTTGTTTATCAAAGCTGTGAACGGAGCCACATTGGTTTGTTTACTTAAAGGATTAGCTGTTGTGTGCAGGGAAGAAATATTAGTTTAACTGGTGTCAAGAACCTACAGCCGCAAGAAAATATATCAGATTGAGAAAGAGAAATTGGATAATGTGGGATCGTTTCACTGTGAGTTAATCCTGGTGGGGTTTTTCCCCCTCTTGTAACTATTAAGGACAGACAAAGATAACTCAACAGATCAGAGTTCACATTCCAATGGACAGATTTGGGCTTTTAAAATGATTAAGTTGATAAACCGCTAAGGAGGTAGCAAAAGAGTAAGTGGATAGAAGAATAAAATGGGTGATAAAATTTTCTTCTTTTCTTTCCCCCATAGCACTGGCATTAGAACTGCTGTGCGCACCATATGTACAGTCATTTTCCGTGACTAATGAGAATAATGTACTACATTTCATAATACTGATCTCTTTGGCAATTTGAGAAAAACTCTTAACTAGATGGCTACACTTACTATCTAAAAATACTTATATCACAACAAGCACTCAAGCAAAATTTCTTTAAAAAAAAAATACCCTTAAGAGGTTTTCTTGAGAAGCAAAGAAACTTTTCAGAATGCTAAGAAAAGAACCTACCCTCTCTCCTACCCTGTTTTGGGTAAGTGCTTAATCCTCTCAGATGGTTTCTCTTGCCGAATGCTTGTCTTACGTGCAGTTTAAGATGGTGTTTAAAATTTTCAAAATTCCTTCTATAAGTGGATCCCTGTTTCCCCTAAAAATGGACTTAAACTGATGTTAGAAACTGGCAGATGTTAGAAATTCCATCCTCCTTCCAGAAAGGGACCAAGTGTGAGTGTGAGGTAATATCCCTTTTTGGCAAATTCTTATTTCCTCCCCGATTCTGGATGTAACTGTCAGCATGCCCATCAAAGTAGGTGGACATCACACACAACTTGCCTGCATGTCACTCCCTAGGAGTTACACGGAGATACTTCCAAATGCAGAATGTCTGTAAAATTATCTGCAATCAAGAGTGACTACTTATAACACTTTCTATACTGAATCAGGGGAGCACTTTGCACTGAAAACAGTCAGCCAGCATCCTAATGCTATGCAGAAGACTATAAACTTTAGAAATCAAAGCTGGATTTTTATTTTCATAAGCCACAAATACATGCAGGTGACACTAGCTATCAAATACTAAACCAAAACTTTTTCTATTTTTATAATTGATTTTTATTCATTGCTTATCAAAATAATCTGGAAAGGAAAAAATAAGTCATCTATACTCAAATTAAATATGCAACTTGAGGTCATGCATTAGCCAGGAATACTTTGCTGCAAGTCAAATAATTTTAGGAAAATCACCTGTGTATTCACTGCATAGAAGTTGTGTGTATGCTTGTTTGATTAATTTTCACCAGGATTAGGGGCACACTTTGTAGCTACGTCTGACAACCAACTTCAACATTTCACACAAAATTGAGTGGCACTGTTTTGATTCTGAAGAGAGTTTTAAAACTCACAACCTAAACTTCAAATTTCTGATGTTCATCAGGGTTAATAAATAACTTCTTATAAATCAAGAATTAGGTTTGATCTTTAAAGCACAAATTAAAACACTTTTGAAAATAAAATATTGTGAATGTTTGAGAAGATAAATCCTTATAAAACATTTGCCGACACACACCAATGTTTTTTTTACTTCTGCTAGTATGGAAAATATATATACTTTAAGTCCTCAAATTATTCCTATTCACTAAACTCGTCCCAAATCTCCTCTTAAGGTGTTATTTATATTTCTCGTTGCCTAAATGCCTTATATAATGATTGACATTTATCCAATAACACCTCCACATTGGCCAACTTAGAGAATGCATGTCTAAAACAAAGATCTTACAAGATATTAGTTATATGTGTCTAAACATGACTGATAATCTTTATAGGTAAAGCCAATACTGGCCAGGGGTCAGGGGTTAACAAGCAGAAAGGTCATGCACAGTTCGTGACTGAAGCTAAGAAACAATAATAAGAAAACGAAATATACCTGAGTAGAACAAAAGTACTCCACAGAAATTAACTTTCGATGCAGTCTTCATAAGGACCCAGACCATCTTCCATAAAACAAACCCAAAGCTGGTCTTACTCGTCATCACACCTCATGGGTTTAGTTACTTAAATGTACTAGACAGCAGTTCTCTTAAGACCAAATACAATGTACATGAACAGGAATCAGTTTTTATTGTGATCATAAGTATTATTTTAACAAAGTCATTGACTTTAACCCAAAATGAAAGCCGTTATTAATGAAAACGAGCAAACATAGACATTAAGAAGTGAAGACTTTTGTAATCCTTAAACGCTATGCAACATGAAGACTAATATCTTTATCATTTGAAAGAAATCAAAACTTCTCCTCTTATGAATTACATAATAACCTCCCTAAAATAACTAGAAAAAACACAGCTTCTCCAATAAAATCTATTTAATATTCGACCCACTAGAGAAGAATTTCGTGCAAAGCTCTAGCTCACAAAATTCCCAAATCAAGAGGCGGGCAACTAATTTTGCAGCTGAGGGCAATCTCCTCGCTACGTTTTCTCAAAGATGGCTGATGCAAACAGCACCTCAGAACTACACAAAAATGGTTGCTCAGATTAAATTATGCAAACGCAGTTTCAAAATAAGCTGCTCAAATTTCAGCGCATTAAAGTTGGACCTGCAAAGCATTTGCCGTGTTACGCCCGGTTCCAGCGGAATTTCAGTGGGTACTGAGGGGAGTGCAAACCCCAAATCATCCTTATAAAGAAAGACTTTGAAACATAAGCACATAAACATCAAATCCCACAGGCACATTCACTGGCCCTAGACCTCGCCCCTAAACACCAATCTGTAACCAGTGCAAAACAAGGCAGAGCTATCAGAGGTCTCCATCCTGGACTGCAAGCAGGAGGGGCCACGTTTGAAAAGCTCAGAATTATCTACTAAAGTAAGCTATTCCAGAGAGGGAATTTTCCAAATGGGGATACATTTACAAGGCAAATTATTAAATGAGGTAACTAAAATACACTTTGATCCATTTTCCACAAAATGGCATTTGTTTTCAACCTGGCAACATTTCATAATCAGACACGCATCTGCAAAAATTTTTCTGTGAACATAAAATTCCTGTTTTGTTCCTAATTTAAAGCAAATGATAGGAAAATGCAGGGTGATTCCAATACTAAAGCAAATTCAGTCGACTTAATGCGCAGCCTAATCTGAAGCCACATGACACTGGGCTGGTAAGAAATACATTAGATATCTCCCAATTAATAATTGGTCAATCAGGTTTTTTAAGGAAATAAACTTAAGGTTTTAAACATTTTTTTCTCTGTTGACCTATATTTATATTAAGGACTAAAGAGAAATTTTTAAGTAATGATGTACTTAAACTGTCAATCATATTTAGCAAGTCAGCTGAAACAATTTGCAAAACAATAGGAACAGAATAACAATATAAATATTTTCATTTTCAAACAGTTGGAAACTTGTTAGTAGTTGAAAGTTATATAACATCAAACTAAAGCAAAGAGTTGTCAGAAATGGAGCTTTCCTTTTCTACCAGTCAAAAAAAGGAACCATTTTGTTCTGAAATACGATACCAGCGTCCTTTGATATCAAACTTGAATTTTCGCTATTCTTTCTATTATATGTCAGTCTTAAAAGCAATATTTAAGTACCATTTATACCCCATAACTGGCTATTTCTCTTACTACACTTTAATAAGTTTATGTAACTCAAAGCATCAATACAGCAGCGCCGGAAAATCTCCGCTCTGTTCCATACGATTGATTTTGCTGTACTTGTGTGTATTTCTCTAGTTTCGTCAGTTTCCCCCAAGCACTCATTATTCTGACTTTCCTACACTTCTTAGTTTGGGGAACTTCATGCCAGGCTGAGGAAACCCTTAAGAGAATAAAGATCCTTCACACAAACCAACATTCTAGGCCTCAAACTGTCAAACGAAATCTCGAAAGAACGAACAAAACATCATCACTTGACTTTTATGGCCCCCAAATGAGCCGAAAGAACTTCTCAGAGCCTGTCGACCACCCCCAATCTACTCTCGCGCTGGGAAGGGCGGCTCTCAAAATGCGCGACCCAGGTCGCACAGTTCACCTGAATCGCAAGATGGTAACATTAACGGTAAACGGTTGCGCGGCTAAGAACTCTTCGCAAGGGCCTTCCTGAGAAGTGTAAATACTTCCATCAGAGCAAAGCAAAACGTGTTGTTTACAAACTTCAGGGGCCCCATGAAGGGTGGTTCCTTCCTGGCAGCCTTTTCCTTACACCCCCTCACGCGCGCGCACACTCACGCACGGCTCTCCATATATTTCAGCGGCCTCTTGGGACCAGAAAGATGAAATACACCCTCTGGTCCATTTTCCCTCAATTTGAGCTATTTTAGTTCAAAACATCCAGAAATATCCCTGAAGAGATGAGAAAGGGGATAAGGAAAAAGAAAATTATTTTCCCCGCATAACTTGGCTTCCCTCTCCCCAACCTCACAAACAGGCGGAAAGAGACCCACTCCGCCGAGAGAGTGGGCAGGAGAACTTCAAACGCCAGGCGGCCAAGCGAAGTTTAGCAGGGACAGGAGAGAAGCAGCCAAAGAAGGGGGCGCCCGGGGCGTGTTCCCCAAGTGCACACCCGCTCCCCGCTCCCCTCTCCCTCCTCTTACTTTTGGATGATCTGGGGTAGGCCGGCTTGGGGCGGCGGCGGCGGCGGCGGCGGCGGCATCCCTCGCGGGCCCGGCGGCGCTGGAGGCGCCGGGGCACCGGGCACGTTGCGGGCATCTCTGTCCGGTTGCTCGGGGCCGCTGGGGTCCGCGTCCTGGCTCATGGCTGCGGCCAGCACCATGTGAGGCGAGACCGGCCCCGGCTCGCGGCAGGAGAGCGCGCGCGAAGGGCGGCCCCGGGGCACGGGCGCTCACTGGCCGGGGTCCCCGTGCCCAGTCCCCTTGTCCTTCCCGGTGGCGCGGGGAGGAGACGCGAGGGGCGGGGAGGAGGCAGTCCCGGCGGCGCCGCCTGCTCCTCCTCCTCCCGCGGGTCCCGCTGGCCCTGCCGGGCCCCGCGGGGGTGGGGGTCAGGGGGCGTTTCCCGGCCGGCAGGAGCAGCTCGGCAGCCGGGGGCTGCTCGGCGCCGGCGAGGTCCGGAGACGTCTGCCCGCCGAACCCGGGCGCAGCGAGCTGGGAGGGAGCGTAGCGTGTGGCACCCGCCACCGTGCGCCCTCAGGGTCCCAGGCCGGGCGCTCCGCAGCGCAGCACAACCGCGTGAGGTGGCGAGACACACGCCAGCCCGCCGCCGGCTGCCCAGCTCTCGCCTCTCCCGGGAGCGCGGCGGCCTCGGGGCTGTCACTGGGGACGGCGCGCGCGGCCTCGCGCGCTCCTGCCAAGCGGGGCGGACGGAGCGCGCCCGGGGTGTCCGCGCGCATCGCCAGTGCGAAATGCGCCGGGCTTTGCCGCTTCTGGCGGCTGGAGCCTGGCCAGCGCGCTTGCGGCTGAGGGGCCCGGCGCCCCGAGGGAAAAGCCCAGACCCTCCCTCAGGTCGGTGGCACTTGTAACCCCAGGTCTTAGATGACCAGGCCCGAGGGCTCTCCAAATTGGCAGTTCCAGCTGCTGATTTCGGGGGTCCCCAGAAGCACCCGGTGGGGCCGCCGTGGTTTCTCTTCATTTTTCCCCCCTCTTCTTTAAAAGCCCCGCCACGATCCTGCAAGCGCAAAGAGAAAACCAAGCATACGTTTTATCCTTGTTATTTATTGGCGAAATCTCAGTGGAAAGGTAAAAGACGAAAAGGAGTGAGTTCGCCAACATCGCGCAGCCACCACCGCCGCTTCTGAAGCTCTGTTCGTTGCCCCGGAGCCGGTGTGCGCCGGTTCACCTGCACACATCGGTTCACAGCTGTGGACACGGGCATCTTGCGCTGAGGAGCCACCCTGCAAGGTGCAACTTAATGTCCTGGCTCGCGGGTGTAATGTCCTGGCTCGCGGGTGGAGATCTGGGGAGGCACCTGGTGCCGCAGAAATATCTAGAAGCTGGGCAAAGTGGTTACCCAGGAGATCCTTACTGTTCCTCGGGCGCACGGACTTTTTAAATCCTGACACCGGCAGACCTGGGAAGCGAGGAAAAGCGTCCCTTGGGTGCTTTGGAAGCCAAAGCGCACGCCAGGGTGCCCCACGGCCTGGAAAGAAGTTTGCTGATGGTCTCAAACCCACCCGTCCTCCTCTCGCAGCCACGCGGAGGAAAATTATGGAGATGGGTTCTCTGGAACCAGGCAACTAGTTGAATTCCCTGAAAGATGCTTTCTTCTTTCCCCAGACTGTGAGTTTCTGTCAACTTCCCCACTAGCCCCAGGAAGCTAAGCCTTCCTTGATTTCTGTCATCCTATCTAGATCTTTTCCCCTCCCTCCCTCTCCTACAGATAAAATGTCCTGTCAACTTTCTCTCTTCCTTCCTTCGTCTCTCTCTCTCTTCTTCCTACAGATAAAATGATACATCAATTCCTTGTAGCCATAAGGATCATCAGAATTCGCAAAATTGTCTCACCAAAAAAAACAGGTAAAGAGGTATTGAATGTTGTCCCCATTTCACAAATGAGGAGTCATCGGGGTGATTTGTCCCACCCTACATGGCTAGTAAGAGCCCATCTCAGAAAGAATCTTCTCAGGCTGTCTGAGTGGTTAATTGATCATCTTTAGTTTCTATCACTCAAGTCTTGACTATGGTTTCCATAAAACCCCACCTCCCACAGCCCCCCACCTCCTTGGTCGAGAGTAATTACCCGAAGTTAACATTACAACTCTCCCAGAAACTAATTTTAAAACTTTCCATATGCTTGCATTAAAATGTCCCTCTGAGGCTTATGCACCGCTATGTTCCTCACAGCATTATTCACTATAGCCAAGACCTGGAAGCAACCCAAGTGTCCCTCGACTGATGATTGGATAAAGAATATGTGGTATATATATATATATATATATATATACACCATGGAATACTACTCAGCCATAAAAAAGAGAAAATCGTCCCATTTGCAACAATGTGGATGGACCCGAAGGGTATTATGTTAGGTGAAATAAACCAGAAAGAGAAAGACAAACAGTGCATGATTTCACTTATATGTGGAAGATGAACCAACACACTGACAGATAGAACTGTTTGGTGGTTACCAGGGGCTGGGGGGTGGGGGGTGGGCACAAAGGGTGGAGGGATGCACTTATATGGTGACTGGTAAACAGTAATGTACAACAAAAATTTCACAATTAAAAAAAATGTCCCTCTGAGAATCCTCCAAAACCTTTATGAAAAGGGCTTTGTAGTCAAAAAGATAGACCTATTTTTACCAGCGGGGCAACTCACCTTCTCTGTCAGTTACCAAATATGTAAATTGGCAGTGATGAGACCCTAGCTTGCACAGTCGCTGTTAGGATTAGAGAATGTATCTCCATATTTGGTGCAGGAGGTATTCAATTTGGCAGTTATTATAAATGTGATTCCTTATATTCCAACCTTGTAGCCAAATACAACAACGGATCTCAAACTACAGGAAACTGAGTGCCTGGCAGTCGCAATATTGATATAACTAAGTCCATCCCCATAACTTTTTTACTGGCAGAGAAGAAAGACTATATTTTATGAATGCAGTCTCTGCATCTCAAAAATAATGTATTAACATATGTGACAAAATAATAACAGTCGGTAAACCTAGATATTCATTGCGCTTGCCTTGCATCCTTTCTGTAAGTTTGAAATTTTCAAAATAAAAAAATTTGAAAAAATTAGTAATTCATAAGGTGTTTTTCAAAAATCCCATTCCCATGATTATAGCTTAATATTTGCAATTTATGTGCTGGGTACTAACTGAAATTTGAATTGAAGTGGACGTGAAGGGAGAGGGGAACACTGCAGCATAACCCTAAATCTAGTTCCTGTCCTACCTCAAATCCCCACAAAATGGTGTCCAGGATCATATCCAACAAGCATTTCCATTTTGCAAGTCAAACTTTAAGTGTATTAAGCAGGTCCAATGACAACTTTTTTTTTTCCTGTGGAAGATTCACCCTGAGCTAACATCTGTGCCAATCTTCCTCTATTTTGTATGTGGGTCGCCACCACAGCGTGGTCGCTGACGAGTGGTGTAGGTCCTCACCTGGGAGCCGAACCTGGGCCACCGAAGCGGACCATGCTGAACTTAACCACTAGGCAATGAGGCTGGCCCCAAACTATTTTTTAACTTATGTTTTCTCGCTGCTTTCCAGGAAGAATGAGAAAGATCCCTGGCACGGGTTGCAGCCATGCAAGAAAGTAGCAGTTTTGCTCTGTCTGCCCTGTGCACTCACCACCCCCACCACACCAGGATGCGCTTCGCAGTTACTGCTGTGTGAGTCACCTGACTTGACAAATGGGGAGCGTGACTCGGCGGGGAGGGCTGATAACATCTCTCTTTGTTCCACTCTGCAGAACCATCCTGTCCCTCCTGACCTACCAGTAAACTACTATCAGGCAGTGGGGCTTTTTCTGTCTATGAATACATTGAACATTTAACAGGAGTCAGCTGCTAACTTCGTACTCACAATAATCCCATGAGTTAGCCACTGTTATCCATGTTTTAGAATAGAGGAAACCGAGGCTCAGATGGCTATGGGAACTTGCCCCAGCTCACCTGGCTTTTAAGGGGCAGAAGCAGGACTGCAGTGAGGTCCATCTGGCCCCAAACCTCTCTTCATTGCCTCAGGGACAGACATGGAGCTGAGATTCCCACCTGTCTTCTTTTGCTGTGATGCTGCCTGTGTCATGCAGTGAATGTAAAATGCTACTTGCATTGTGACTCAACTCTGCCACTCATATCTATCTAGATCAGTAAATTAATAGGAGCGATCCAAATTGACATCTTACAAAAATGAAAATTCAAAGAAATTAAGCAGCCTGGCAGGAAGTAGTAGGAACAAGTGGGAAATAGAACCCAGGTCTTTGTTAGTACTGAGGTAATTCTCAAACTTGCCAGGGACTCGGGCACTTTGGCTTGCTTTGTAATATTAATAAATGTTTACTGGGTTCTGGGCACTGGTTCTAGGAGCTTTCTCATGCCTTATTTCATTTAATATCACCAGTTTGCAGACAGAGAAGCTTGGTGAACCTGCCCAAGGTCACAGGATAATAAAAATGGAGCCGAGGTCCAGACCTTGGTCAGACTCCCTGCGCTCCCTGCCCTCTGTTCAAAGGGGAGCTAGCCCACCTCTCGGGGTGATTGTGAGCATTCCTCTCTGCAGATGAGATCATTTCATATGTACTGCCCTTCCACATATGTGTATTATTAATGTTGTTTTTTAAATAACAGTTTACTTAGTAAAGTTTGATAATACCCAGAGCTAGTGAGACTGCAGGACACAGCCATTCTCCTACACTGTGGGTGAAAGTGTCGGTTGCTGCAACCTCTTTGGAAGTGAGCTGGCGCTGTTAAAATCACAACAAAGGAAACTGACTCAGCAGTTACCCTTCTAGGAGTTTATCCTATGGGTTTATTTGTAGTAACAACCAAAGTTCCACGTACAGGGGAGTTTATTGTGGCATTGTTCGTAATAGCAAAAACTAAAAACAACCAAAGTGCCAAGCAGTGGGGGACTGGTTACATAAAAGATGGCCCCTACCTACAAGGGAATATAATGTAGCGCTTAAAAAGGAGGAGGTAGATCTGCATGTAGTGCTAGGGAGAGATTCCAAGACGGAGAAACGTCTGCATTTGCCTCCAAGGAGAAAATGTAAGTTCCTCAACAGCATTGCAGTATGATTAAATTTGTGTAAAATCAAAGAGCATAAAACATTTCTGGAAAGTTATACAAATAATTAATTGTTAAGACTAGTTACCTTGGGAAATTGGGATGGGGCAGGAACCTTTTTCTTTTATGACCTTTTATATTGTTTGCATACTTGAAATAAAATTTTATCGAAGTATATGTATTGTTTGAAAATTTTTTACTATGGACATGTTATTTTTTATTAACTAACAACAAA